GCTTTTCTTTGAATAGCAATAGGATCTTTATTATAAAATGCTACTGGCATGACCAAAACACTGCAGAAATACTTAAGATAATAAGCATGGAAAGTTCAAATGCTAAAATGTCAGTGTGGCACTAATAAACTCCTGCAAAAGGCCAACGTGACTGAAATTTGAGGAGATGGGAAAGAAAACATTCAGATGTTGATAAAAATTAGACTATGGGGAGCAGAGGTGAAAAATTTCTCCCATTTAATAATAATAATAATAATAATAATAATAATAATAATAATAATTTTACAATTTATACTCCATCCATCTGACTGGGTTGCCCCAGCCATTCTGGGCAGCTTCCAACACATATAAACAGAGTTTAAGAAATGCTTTTTATACATGTCTGCCCTGTGATGTTTTAAAATGATATGTCTAATATAATTCTAATAACATTAAACAGGTTAGGTCCATTAACTTCAATGGGCCAGGTTCAACTAGCCAGGTGTGTTAGGGAAAGCTGCACAAGTGCTCCCACTAGCACAAGGGGGCTTCCTCTTTTTCTCCCCCCCCAAAAAAAGAGAGGTTCAGTGTAGTAGTTAGCGTCAGACTGGGATCTGGGAGACCAGAGTTCAAATCTCGACCTGGCATGTCGGAGGAGCAAAAGTGGCATCGTTCCATCTGCCAAGCCCAAATCTTTGCACTGATGGAATGCCAGAGGAGCATGGCGATGAATTCCTCCCAGTAGGTCTGCTCTGAGCAATTGTTCCATGCCACCCTAGGTCTCCATTGCGCTGAATTAAATTCTCTTCCCTTCCCACAACCACTAGGGCCCCAGTTTTGCTCCAGCCTCCCTGGAGATACCACTATGTACACCAGGGGGCAACAAGGTTTACCTCGCCTGGGCCGGTTCACTCCAGCGGAGATCCCTCCATGGGCCAGATAGCACGTGCGTCCATGATTTCCGGCGTCTGTGCATGCGCAGACATGATTTCCGGCAGCTTGGAAGTGAGTCCCCGCGCTGTGCTGCGCCAGTTTAGTGCAGCGCGTGGGGACTCACCGAGCATGCAGCTCAGTTGGGGGGCAGCTCGTGGCCGGTTAAGCAACCCCCATTGGCTGATTGTGGCCCATGGGCCTTAGGTTGTAGACCCCTGATGTAGGTAAAGGTAAAGGGACCCCTGACCATTAGGTCCAGTAGTGGCCGACGCTGGGGTTGCGGCGCTCATTTCGCTTTATTGGCCAAGGGAGCTGGCGTACAGCCTCCGGGTCATGTGGCCAGCATGACTAAGCTGCTTCTGGTGAACCAGAGCAGCGCACGGAAACGCCCTTTACCTTCCCGCCGGAGCGGTGCCTATTTATCTACTTGCACTTTGACGTGCTTCCGAACTGCTAGGTTGGCAGGAGCATGGACCGAACAACGGGAGCTCACCCCGTTGTGGGGATTCAAACTACTGACCTTCTGATCGGCAAGTCCTAGGCTCTGTGGTTTAACCCACAGTGCCACCCGCGTCCCCGACCCCTGATGTACACATACATTAATTGCATTCACACATTAATGCCACATCTGGTTTGGCCCAAAGCGGTGTTCCATATATGTCATTTCAGCAGAGCTTTCCTGTGGATTGTACTCCGAGGCCTTACATTTCCTCTCCCTGCCTCGCCGTAGCAAGGATCCACATTTAATGCAGCAGCAAAGGGACTTTTAAGAAACAAGAACCAACAACGAAATCAGAGAGGCACAAAGGAAGGACAGCACAGAGATGCAGTTTTATTGGGCGACTGTCTGTAGCCAGAATGCATCTGCGAGCGCTTTCCCAGAGAACACCAAATTGACAGGGATAAAATAGATCCACATAATGCACTTGCTGAAAGCCCACCTCATAAATATTGGATTCCCCCCCCCCCCCGTATCTCTAGCTTTTTAAAATTTCTTTATGCAGTAAAGACAAGTGGGCTATCTGTACTATATCCCGCCTCCGAGAAATAGATTGAATCAAATTCCCTTCAAACGCCTGCATATTATATTCAAACAGGATTGTTCGGGGGCGAGGCAGGACTTGGGATGACTGGACCAATTACTTGAAATGCAGATTTCAAAGATGGGCTCAGAGATTCCATTTGCTTTCATCCTACATTGCGGGCACCAGTGGCTTTGCAAAGCAAACCCTCTCTTCTCCTGAGCAGCAGCAAATAAGCCGTCTACGTGGCACAGAATGAAAAGATCCGATCATAGCTACAGTATTTCTTCCTGTTACCAGTTCTGATTGCCGTGTGTACTTGTGGGGATAGAGTATATGCTTCACTTTGGTTCTCCCTCCTTCTCTCCCTCCTATTATTATAAACAGCTCATTTATATTGCTCTATTTGGGGAAGTGCTGCCATTTTATTTGTTGTTTTTTTCAGTGATGCTGCCTTAGCCTGGACTAACTCATAAATGTTAACAGGGACAGTTTAGAAAGAAGTCATATTTATAGACTTGGCCACCTAGTTCCTTAAAGAGTTGAAGACTGTGAATATCCCTAGTTTTGAGTAAACATGCTTGGTTTATGAATGATAGGGATTTTGTTAAGTACAGTAGTACCTCGGGTTAAGAACTTAATTCGTTCTGGAGGTCCGTTCTTAACCTGAAACTGTTCTTAACCTGAGCTACCACTTTAGCTAATGGGGCCTCCCACTGCTGCCGCCGCGCCGCAACCGTGCGATTTCTGTTCTCATCCTGAAGCAAAGTTCTTAACCCGAGGTACTATTTCTGGGTTAGTGGCGTCTGTAACCTGAAGCCTCTGTAACCTGAAGCGTCTGTAACCCAAGGTACCACTGTAATATCAATGAAGAGCGAGAAGGGGGAAAACACTGAGGGAATATGCAACTGGGATCAAACCTACAGCCTTGCCTTATCAGAACCACGCTCTAGCCTACTGAGCTACCCAAGAAAACTTGCATGGGCCCAGGGGCATAGCTAGTTGCTCTGGCACCTGGAGAGGCTGTGGTGGGGCGATCTGCGCATGGGGGCACCGCAGCAAGCTGCCCATGGAGTCCGCCTGGCAGACACAAGCCCCACGCTGCTGTTTCAGGCAGCACGGAGCCCAAGCCACCACGTCACTCCCAGGAGAGACTCGTGGCTCGGGCATGCTGCAGGCCAGGCCATGCGGTAAGTGTGCCCCGCCCCACAGTGTCCCATTTTGTCACCCCCTCAGGAATGACACCCAGGGAGGATCGCACCCCCCCTTCCTACTCCCTTGCATGGGCCTAAAATAATTGCTCCATTCAAGGGGCTGACTTGATCCATGCAGTGAAATTATAGGCAATCATGGAAAATCCTGAGAAGGGAAGTTTGTTGAAGGGTACTGGGAATTGTAGTTCTGTGAGGTCAGCACCCTTAACAGCACCTTTGTGATCTCTTTCAGCTTCTGCCTTCTGGTACAGGGTTATATAAAGACTAGGACTAGCCGCCTGAGAAACAGTTTCTATCCAAATGCGATTTTGGTTTTAAATGCAGTGTAAGGAGTCTCTATGGGAGTATATTGTATTTAAAAATGGGGTATCAGAGTTTTTAGGGGGCTAACCAGGTTGGGATAGCTGGGATAGCAGGCTTGTTGGTTTTTGAATGTCTTATTTTTTCAATTTCGTTGTTCTGTATGGGGCAATGACAATAAAGAGTATTGTATCGTATCATATCGTAACAAGCTATAGTTCCCAGGATCCTCCATGACTGTTAAAGTGGTAGTAAGGTAAAGGTAAAGGGACCCCTGACCATTAGGTCCAGTCGTGACCGACTCTGGGGTTGCGGTGCTCATCTCGCTTTACTGGCTGAGGGAGCCTAAGTACAGCTTCTGGGTCATGTGGCCAGCATGACCAAGCTGCTTCTGCTGAACCAGAGCAGTGCACGGAAATGCCATTTACCTTCCCACCGGAGCGGTACCTATTTATCTACTTGCACTTTGACGTGCTTTCGAACTGCTAGGTTGGCAGGAGCAGGGACCGAGCAATGGGAGCTCACCCCGTCGCGGTGATTCAAACTGCCAACCTTCTGATCAGCAAATTCTAGGCTCTGTGGTTTAACCCACAGTGTTAAAGTGGTACGATGCTTTAAATGTATGGTGGATGTGGCCTGTGGCTTCTCAGGAACATAGTCCTAGTTACAACTATATGGTGGTATAGTACCCGGGAAACAACTGAGGCCAACTCTAGGGACCTTCCCAGTCATTAAACGATGACCACAGTTTTTCAGAGAGCTGTGTGTAAATGGCCCCTTGATACTGTCCACCTCACTTGTTCACTAAGTTTCAGTCTTCAAGTTTCTAGGGCTCAATCATATGCACACTTGGGATACAAGCCCTGTTGAATTCAGTGAGACTTAGTTCCGCATAAGCTTGTTCAAGACTGAGTAGCAAATGACTTCGGTGACCCAGGAGGACGCGACTTTTGCCAGTAAACTTGATGGCACAAACTCGGGTCATTTTTGATCAGCTTATAAAGAGGACCACGGTGACAGCAATCATCTCTTTCCTTTGTGATTTCTAATGGTTAATACCCAAAGGCAGGAGTGCTGATCCAGCAGGATTCAATCAGTTTTTATGGTGTTTTTTGTGATTTTACAGTTGCTTTGGAGCCATTATCTGCCTTGAGTTTCCGTTGGGAAAGAAAGGCTAGCTATAAATGGGATGAAATAATTAAATGAACTAGCTGTCTTTGCCAGGCTCTACACATCAGTCGGTTGGATTCCATTGCCATGGAAGAACTGGTAGAAATACGTTTGATGATGTTCTCAGTATGCGCCTCTTGTATACATTCAGGCTTTGTGTAGAAACATGAGGCTGTATTTCTTGCATTTTACAGACTTTTTGCCCCCCTTTGATATAATCTTTCCTCTATTCCCATTTCTGGGTGTGTAACAATGCTTCATGCATCTGATGAAGTGAGTTCTAGTCTAGTAACGCATTTGCTTCAATAAAAGGCCACCCTGAACTCAGATACTGAGAAGTAAGTCTCACTAACCGCAGTATGATTTACTTCTGCGAACATCTGCCTTGCTAGCTTTGTTGGTAGAACATGAGCCTCTTAATCTTAGGGGTGTGGGTTCCAGCCCCATACAGTGGTACCTCAGGTTACATATGCTTCAGGTTATAAACTCCGCTAATCCAGAAATATTACCTCGGGTTAAGAACTTTGCTTCAGGATGAGAACAGAGATCGTGCTCTGGTGGCGTGGCGGCAGCAGGAGGCCCCATTAGCTAAAGTGGTGCTTCAGGTTAAGAACAGTTTCAGGTTAAAAACAGACCTCCAGAATGAATTAAGTACTTAACCCGAAGTACCACTGTATTGGGCAAAAGATTCCTACGTTGCAGGGGGTTGGACTAGAATCAGCCTTTCTCAACCTGTGGGTCCCCAGATGTTGTTGAACTACAACTCCCATCACTCCTAGCTAGCAAGGCCAGAGCTCAGGTATGATGGGAGTTGTAGTCCAACATCATCTGGGGACCCACAGGTTGAGAACTACTGGACTAGATTATCCTTGTGGTCCCTTCCAACTCTACAGTTCTATGATACAGTTCTATGCGGCGCTCATCTCACTTTACTGGCTGAGGGAGCCGGCGTACAGCTTCCGGGTCATGTGGCCAGCATGACTAAGCCGCTTCTGGCAAACCAGAGCAGCGCATGGAAATGCCGTTTACCTTCCTGCCTGAGCGGTACCTATTTATCTACTTGCACTTTGACGTGCTTTCGAACTGCTAGGTTGGCAGGAGCAGGGACCGAGCAACGGGAACTCACCCCGTCGCAGGGATTCAAACCACCAACCTTCTGATCGGCAAGCCCTAGGCTCTGTGGTTTAACCCACAGCGCCTTTTAGTGCCCCTCAACAAGGTGCTGCCCAGGGCATGGGCATAGCCAGGATTTTTGTCGGGAGGGGGAGAACCTCAGATTTATATTGATTTTTATTGATTTGGGGGGGACAGTTGCCCCCACCCCCTGGCTACACCCATGGCCCAGGGACAAATTCCAGCATGGGCTCCCACATCGTACTAGGGTTGTCAGAGCTGCCTCCACTACTCTCCTCACATCTGTTTGTTATGCTACCTATAGGCATGGACCTAGCCAGGATTTATGTTAGGGGGGGGAGGACACCAACTTGTTATCATCCTCTAGCTTTGTCTAGCAGATTCAGAATGAAATGTCAACAGGAGTTGTTCTAAATGACTTTCTTTTGACCCCAAGTGCTCAGAAAAATCTGTCAGAATCTTTCTACAACTTCTACTTTTAGTTAAGTATCTTTATTTATTTACTTGATTGGGGGGGGCAGCTTCCCCCTGGCTATGCCCATGCACCCTTGCCTACCAGAACCCCTAGTTTCCCCCCACCCAAAAAACCCCCAATTTCCCCGAGGAAAGAGAGAGCATCCTGTGGCTTATGGTTCTCAAGTAGTTTTTCAGTGAGAAATATTATCCAAAGTTGACGGAGCCCTGCAGGTGTATTTAAGGTGGGGGGGGGGAGGAGATCTCTATCATGCAGGCGCAGACTCCCCCCCCCCCGTAAACATGGGCGTTACCAGGATTTATGTTCCGGGAGGGGGGGCAGGCAAACCTCAGTTAAGTCTTTCTATTGATTTACTCGCTGGGGAGGCGGGCAGGATGCAGCTGCAGTACAGTACAGTGGTACCTCGGGTTACAAACGCTTCAGGTTACATACGCTTCAGGTTACAGACTCCGCTAACCCAGAAATAGTGCTTCAGGTTAAGAACTTTGCTTCAGGATGAGAACAGAAATCGTGCTCTGGCGGCGCGGCGGAAGCAGGAGGCCCCATTAGCTAAAGTGGTGCTTCAGGTTAAGAACAGTTTCAGGTTCAGAACAGATCTCTAAAATGAATTAAGTTCTTAACCTGAGGTACCACTGTATAAAGCTGCTGGGTTATAAAGGCAGCAAGGTTGGGCAACTGCAGGGCCCGGGAGCACCGAAAGCTCGTGGCTGATCCTGCTCACTGAGAAAGAGAAAGGGTCTTTGGCTCGGTTCGCTCATCTGGCCTGGCGCGGCGCGCCTTTCGCCTTCTGTTCCACGTGTTGCTTGTTGTGGGCGCTACAGGTTTCCCACCTGTGCGTCTCGGCGCCGCTGCTCTCGGCGAGGCGGAGCCGCGGTCGGAGAAGTGACAGGCCAGCGCGGGCTCTGATAGGATCCCCGGTGGAAAACAGCGCCCAAGCTCGACCCCTTTCCCCCCAAACTCCGCCTCTCCTCCTCTCTCTCTTTCTCTTTCTCACGGCTGCCGCCGGCGGCTCGCTGGTAGGAAATAGTCGGGCGTGGAAGCTCGACGTGTCCGGAAAGGTGCGCGCTGGTCGGGCAGCTGCAGGCGTCTTTGCGCGCGGCGCTCTTTCTCGCCTCCAGACGGCCGCGGGGAGCGAGCGGGCACCATTATGCTGGACCCGTCTTCTAGCGAAGAAGAGTCGGACGAGGTGCTGGACGAAGACCGGCGGGAGGTGCTGGTGGTGGCGGCGGCGGCCAGCTCGCCGCGCACCCTCCCTGCCGCGCACCGAGAGCCCGGGCGCCCGGGGAACCGCGGCGTTGGAGACGGCGGCAGTGGTGGCGCGTCTGGGCGCCCGGCGAGCCCCAGCCCTTCGGTGCGCAGCGAAGGCAGGGAAGAGCAAGAGCGGCTACAGAAGGAGGAGAGCGAGAAGCGGCTCCGGCTGCAGCTGTACGCCTTCATAGTGCGCTGCATCGCGTACCCGTTCAACGCCAAGCAGCCCACCGACATGGCCCGGCGGCAGCAGAAGGTGAGGCGCTCCCGGAGCGCAGCGCCAGCCGGACTCGGCCGCAGGACGCGCCGATGCTTCCCATTCCGCCCCTTCTGAGCGGCGGATGGTTTGGCTAGGGGGGGAAAGGTCCGGCGGGCGGGAGGACTTTCCCTTTCCAGCCACTTTCCCCTCCCACTTTCAGCCTCCCGAGCAGGAAACTGCAGGCATCGCATGCAACTGGTAGCGCGAGCCTCTGCTTGCAAATCGCCTGCATTGCAATACGTGCCCGGAAGATCTCCGCGCACCGAAGCGGTTCCCAATAACTTGTGGGTTCTGGGAGCCAGGATTTCTGTCGCGGGGGACAATTAGTCAGGCTTTATGTGTGTGTGTGTGGGGGGGGGGGGAGGGCAGGACACCCACCTGTCACTATCCTCTGTCTAGCAGACTCCCAATGCAATGTCTCACCAACAGTTGTTCTAAATTACTTTCTCTTGACCTCAAGTGCTCAGAAAAATCTGTCAAAAATTGCCTGCAATTTCTACTTTGTTATTTTTATTTATTTACTTGATGGGGGGCAGCTGCCCCTTCTCCCCCTGCCCACGTCCATGTCTGGGGGTGGGTGAGGGGGAGAAGAGATTCACAGTGGGTCTCAGGATCTTCTCGGTTCTTCCACCTGGTCTTTCAGTAGATCGAGCTCCCCCCTCCTTTTCTTTCTGGCTGCAGTATGTTTTGTGTCAGTGGGTCACACGGCGCAGAGACCGGGAAGTAAACTCTTCCCCTGTGTGCTGAGAAATGCCTGTGCGCGCAAATGCTGCCTCTTGGATGGCGTTGCCGCTCTTCCTTTGCTGCAACAGGTTGAGCCGCTCTTTCCTAGTTAGCAGGAGCCGGGAAGGGGGTTGGGAAGCAGCGCTTCGAGCGCACGCAGCTCGCGGGCAGGCGCGCAGACGGCTGGGTTGGTGGGGTCAAGTCTCGGCGGTCGTGTAACGCGGATTCCTCAAGAAACGTCAACTCTGCTGCTCGCTGTGTAGCCGGAAAGCCGGAAGGAAACGCTCCCTGCAATTAAATGCGGGATATAGAAACATAGGAATCTGCTTTATAGCCAGACGCATACCGTTGGTATTGTTGACACAGGCAGTCAGCGGCTCTCAAGCCTTTCCTGGTTACGCCATTCCAGGGAAGGAAGCGAGGACCTTCTGTTCTGCCTGCAAAGCGTGTGCTTTGAGCTATTGTCCCCCATCCCGCTGTGTTTAGTGGGGCACAGTTCCTAATAAGTATTTTTTGGACTGCAGTCTTTACATTTGCAGTCCTGTACCCACTTACCTAGGAGGCACTCCCAGAGAATTGAATGGGGCTGACATCCTAGGACATGTATAGGATTGCAGTTAGAGGTTAGGTTAGCACAGAACAAAATTTGGAGATATTACACTGGAAGGGCTGAACATTGGGGGACTGGGTGGATTGGTGGTGCTTGAATTCAGTAGGGCTTACTCTGGAGCAAGATGTTTATTCAGTGGTAGCCTAAGGGGTTTATGTGCCTTTGTTTATTATAACAGCTTCACCAAGTTGCAGTAACTCTAGTCAGCTGATACTTTGTTATAATATGGGCACAGCATTATCTCCAGTTGCCGAGACCGGCATTGTTTTCCTTCTACTTAAGCATCTCTCTCTGTGCCTCTTGAAGGTGATACATGGTTTCCTTTGGAAAGCAGGTGATTGAAAGCAAGATGCTTAGGGGAAATAATAGAGTAGAAATTGCTTCAGGCAACAAGACATCCATTTTGCTTGGGTCCCCTGTGCAACTGTGTGTTAAGAGACCGTCGCCCAATGAAATGAAGCTATTGACACGCCAATAAAACGGAAAAGAATTGTATCTGACTAGCCAAGGATTATTTAGGGATGAGCTTCTACAAATGTAGCATCCTTTAGTTGCAAAAGGGAGTGGGGCTGACTTCCTTGAAAGGCCTTTTATTTTATGATGTCCCTGAGCATAATAAAGTATGGAGGTTAAAAACAACAACTTTTGAATGGTGCGTTGTGTGAGTACAGGGCTTCCCATCCCTAACATAGGTTCATCTTTCTCCTCATCCAGTGTGGTGTAGTGGTTAAGAGCGGTGGACTCGTAATCTGGTGAACCGGGTTCACTTCCCCGCTCCTCCACATGCAGCTGCTGGGTGACCTTGGGCTAGTCACACTTCTCTGAAGTCTCTCAGCTCACTCACCTTGCAGTTTGTTGTGGGGGAGGAAGGGAAAGGAGATTGTTAGCCACTTTGAGACTCCTTAGGGTAGTGATAAAGCGGGATATCAAATCCAAACTCTCTCTCTCTCTCTCTCTCTCTCATCCTCCTCTTCAGCTCCATTTCCTTGAGTTAAATTGGACCCCAG